ATTTCTTTAATGTTAATATACGACTCTTACTCTCTAACAAGCTTATCGTTCAGTGTATTTTTTTTATTATAATTCTCCTCGTGAACTCTTAACACTAAATCACTCAGCTGTGAAGGCCGCGTATCGTGTGACTTGTCTACCTGAGCCTGCATATGATATTGTTGAAATAAAAGTTTTATTAATTAATGAAAATAAGTTTATCACACAGTAAATAACAAAAAGGTCCACAAAATAAACAGGTTGAAACTTACGCATAAAAAGAACAAAATACGAGCTTATTAGAGATATTTGTCACAGTTCAGCCAGTCAACTTCTTTATTCATTTTATATTTTAAAATATTTTATTCATCGGAGACATCTTATTATTGAAGTTACGTTATATTAATGGAATATACTCAGATCAGCATTATATTAAAATAATCAATAATAAAAAGGAAGGAGTGATATAGACTGTCACTAGGCGTGTGCGTTTACCACCTACAACTCTAGTTATCAACATGGTAGTCATGCACTGACCAGTTTTTACGTAAAAAGGGGAGGAAGTAAGTAAGCGCTCAGATTCCATTTTTGGGACTACAGATTATTTTCAAAATAGTTGTATTAAGAGTACTTAAGTATTATTCGTATTATATAGCTGAAGTTATTTGCTGTTACATTTTAATAGGTACTTCCATGTTTTGGTCCGATAGAATTTAATTACATTGTATATAAAGAAACAAATGGTAGACAAAAAAGATAGACAAACTATATGGAGTTAAAAGCTTGTTTAGTTTTATCGGAATAGATTTGCACACAATGTTTAGAAACAAACGGTGTCCATGTTTCGTGTCACGCCTCATGCCTAAGAATAATACTGTTATAACATACTTGAATGATTCGCTCATTATTCTATTTCGACAGTATGTTATAGAACAAGCGATTATAAAATTATAATATTGGGTCGAGAGATAATAGAAACTCACTGCGTTTTAGATTAATTTTTCTGATTATTATTCCGTCAATAACTTTTCATGTGATATACGTTTGATAAATCTACGAAATAAGGTCATTTAGGTACTTCTAAACTTAAGGTTACATTTTTTTACCATATTTTTTTATTATTTTCACTATACACGTATACATATAAGGCATGAATACGTAATATTCATGTATTCAATACCAAAAAGTTCAAGAATTTATATATCTCGTGTTTATCGTCACATTAGATCAAAACTCAAGAATAGACTCGATATACCTACATATAACATATCGTTTCTTAAAAAAAATGAATCTGTTTCTTTTCTAAAAATATGCACATATATACGTACCATATCTTATATACTCGAAGGCAGAACTAAAATTACTTACATTTGTATTACAAGTTGTAGTCTAGTCCTCACCTTTAAATAATGAACTTTGATATTGTATAGAAGCACAATCAACCTACAAACGAGTGCCTTATTAAATTGCACTGGTTTCCCGGCCTTTTCAAATATGGCAACATGGTATATGGCATACGTGTAAACGCAAGGACAACAACAACCGTTTAAGTATTTTATAACGTCATAAAAATATTGCTGTATACACATTGTTATTGATTCCCCCATAACGACGGTCTTCATCCGCATGTTTGGAGATATAGGAACGAACACTATTTAATTTATAAGAACTAGTGGTCGCCCATTGATCAAAATTCGACCAAAATTAAGTATACATGGTAGTCTGTAATGTTTTTTTATTGATTTTTTATGCATAATAATAAAAATATCAGATAGCCTTCTGCACTCCTTCTGTATATAAACTACTATCTACTGCCCGCGACTGTGTCTGCATAGCGTAACATTCAGACAGAAAGACAGATATACATATAAATATGTATATAAATTATAGCCTATGTGTTATTCCGATGTATAAGCTATATTATTATAAAGTTTCATTAAAATCCATTCACTAATATTTGCGTGAAAGAGTAACAAACATTCATCCATACATACAAACTTTCCCCTTTATAGTAAGGATAGTAAGAGAAATTTCCTACGTCCGCGCAATTTTCGCAAAAAGGGGTACAAATTGTTGTGTTTCGCGTATTAAAATATAAATTTCTTTTATATAATCAAAGTAAAATTCGCGTGGTTATCATTCGATAGTAATTTTTTTTCTCTCGAAACTCTCAATTGTCCTTTTGTCATAAACAATCGGGCTACCTTTCATCAGAAATTTGTCATCTCCCAAGAAATGATCTCAGAAATTTACAAACAAATTGAAGACTATAAAATTGATGAAATAGTCCAATACAACAGTATATTACAACGAAGGGCATCAACATGATTTATACTAAAGTGTAACTGCATTGTTCCTGAAATAATCGATTCATCGCTATATTTTGTCCGCAATGAATGCCAGGTTGACTGTAGTCAGATTCTCGGGAGCCGGTCGCCTGAGACGTCCAATGTTTATCGTCCATACAAACCAATATTGACATTCTCTTTGTCTACTAACTGACGGCTAATCTCTTTGTGCTGGATACTCTTTTGTGTTTTGTTACCCAGTCGTTTATGATGTTCTGTTTTCCCTTCAGTTCTACGTTCATTTTATTACAACGGTGAAAATTCATTTCGTGTTTGACACACGTAAAGGAAAAAGGTAGGGAAAGTCAAAAACACCTTCACTATAGCTTACTGAATGTAGGTAATGTGGTATCATATTGGTTGGTAACGTTCGAAACAATTTTTCTTGAAATGAAAAGACATCTTTACATTGTCAATTAGCTGTTTGACCTTTTATATATTTCCCGGGTTTACATGATACGTCAATAGATACCGAATAATAAATGGGCGTTTAATTATCCGTCACATTAGAGAATTTAGTTTATTGCTATAGCTCGATAGTTTTGGCCTCAACGTGTGGGCTTGGCCGGTCCACTTTCGTAGAGTTTGTATGCCATCTAAGACGCATCGACTATGTTGCACCGCCACATTCTGCACGACGTACAGCACAGATTATTACTAGAAAGCGTTCCAGACGAATTATGTCTGTAGGACACGAGCAGGAACTACGAGAGGCACCTAGCCTAAATTATAAATAGTCTCTCTAATATGTATAATGACTACAGGACTTTACAAATAGAGACATCTTTGACATATACTGTGTCCTATATTATGTAGAGGAGGGGGTGGTAATTTGGAACCCCACTTTGTTTTTTCAGTATTTTAAGAAAACTATTTGACTAATCATCACAAAACTGTCTCTTTGTATTTAAAATATTATTAACTTTTATATAAGAAACTAATTTATGAAATAAAATCACTCATTATAAGAAAAAAATTACTTTCTTGCAAAAATAAAAAAAATGTGTTCAAAGCTCTGGTGCTGGTATTATGGAACCCGGGTTGCAAATTACAAGTATGAAATAAATTAACATACAAAAATCACAAATATAATACTCCGCGTCACATCCTGAGCAGTTTCACCCTGTTGATTTCTTTTAAATTACTCCAACGTAATTTTCAGAGCAAAAATGCAACAAGCGTCATCTTGATTTGTGGGCTAGGCATGCGCAGTAACATTTTATGACATTACAGTCTCACCTGAAGAAACAGAAAATTCAGAATCCGAAGAGGTCGAGTCCTCGCTGTTTAAAGGAGTTCTAGAAGACTTTTATTAGCGATTTAACAGCGTAATGTCATTATTTTAATAGTAAATCGATCCACATCACCACTATTAGTCGTATATTTGTATATAATTATGTAATGTATTATAATTTAAATTCATTCAAGTTCTAGAAAAGGAACAGAAAGAGTCATAAATAGTATTCAAGTCATTTAATTTGTTAAATCTTTTATTTGCATAAAAGCACAAGAATAAAGCGAAACATAAAAGCAAACAATTATAAAACAAATGCTTAAAATGAGTTGTACAAATGAAAGTGCTCTAATTAAAATCAATTGTTAATTTCATTAACAAAGCAAACGAAGAATGCCAAACACATGTTATTTTATAAACTAGCACTACAGTTGACACAACGGCGTACTAGTTGGATAATGTTTTTAACCAAATACTACAAATAAAAAGCAAATAAAACGTGTAAATCAAACATTAACATTGTTTACACAAAACATGCATAATTATGCTTTGATTTCGTCTTCTTATTTATCTTAATAATTTACAATAACTACATCATTTATATTAAAAACGTCTTTTTACCCACATAGACAAAGAGTTACTATGTGCCCACATTTCTAAAAAAAGCGAAGGCCAGTAAACCCTATCACCGCCGCAAACCTAGCACAAGTAAGAGAAAGAGACAGACTAAAATTTATTCTAAAAAGACAAAAAGCAACTGGAACTCAAACCCGCTTCTCCCTTAGGAAACTAGTCACAATGAAATCACTACGCTTACATTGCTATTAAATCAACACTGTTAATTACTACGATGTAATTATTCGGATATAGCACTCATTTACAAGCCACCATACAAATAACGAATGACCACAATATATATAACGCATTACCATTGCATTCATCGCATGTAAATTAAGTGTTAAAAAACAATTCGTACTCACTGTACACGCATTATGTGCTCTACGATAATGCGTGTACAGTGTCTATCCACGTGCCTCAAGAAACGACAATGAAGGCGCGTTATTTTGAAATCGGTGTTGGGTATCTAATGTGTGTACATGACTAGGCTCGAAAGGTTCAATCTATCAGTCCTATAGGATACATTTCACTACAAAAACATAAGCAAGCGCTCACTGTTTAATTAAAAGTACATTTTTTCACGTTTATTTAAATATATTAAACTCTTGACGCTTTGCATAGTTTGCGACTTTCAAAATCTAAATCAAACTCGATAAAATCCGTACAATTTGTGGTGTTATCGTATTATTATTTAAGATATCATCATGGAAACGGAGACGAGCGTCACGGATGACGTTTTTTTAATTGGCTGTTTAAAATTTAGTGTACGACAGCACGGTCGTTCATTGGACGGTTGCGATTAAAACGTTTCCTGATTGCAGGGCTGCGCTGGGCGAGTGCCGACGCCCGTTATAATGTAACCGGCGCACGACGACGCGCTTCTCTTCTCAAGGTAAGCTCGCTACAGTCTTGGAAAGACAACTGAGCCGTGCGCGAAATGTTGTCGCACCTTGTCGCCTTCTCTCGCCTCGTATTAGCGGCATTACAGAAAATCAAACATTCACCGAATGTATGATATTTAGTAATTTTCCTAGCACAACGCTGTTTTTCTAGAGATCTAAAGTGTATCAATAGTCACTGTAACCGGTAACGTATCTGATACAATATTTTAACTCTTTTCTTTAAACTTTTCATCTTATTTCATTTCGCTTGTATTCACTAAACTGGGGATTCATTCCAGATAGGGCAGTTTTTACAAGCTTTGATGTGTAATTCGTACACTTAGGATATTTTTAATATAAAATCAGTAGGTATTGAATCATCCGTAGTACTGGTTGAAAACGACCATTACTTAATTATTTTATAGCTAAACGATTTAGGTTTCGTAATGTAGAGTTCGAAGAGTTCTTTAAATCATAAATCAATATTTTTTATGCCCGATGAAATGATGGTTAAACTCTTTGAATTGATCATTCAGATTAACTTTTACTTATTTAACCATCCTTTTGGCAATTCAAATGACATTTGAGAAGCTAGTTGATTAGTTAATTTTTACAATGATCAGTTTTTGCCAGTGATCAGAAACCGGGCTTTTTTCTACAATTGTTAAGACCCTGACTTTGATTCGTTTTATACATTATTTTTTTATTAAAAATTTTTAATAAGGTAAAGCTAATACGGTAAAAACTTTAATTTACGAATTAAATCACGTTTAAAAATAGAAACCCGTTGTCTCTGGGGCGCTAATCGCGATCTTAATACGCACGGACGTCCACAGACGCGCCAAAAGTTTTCACGGTCCCACGGGTTTAACGACACCAACGGAAACCGAAATTTTCTCCAGTCGATACGTTTAAGCAGGAATTGTGATATATTCGTCGCTAAAACGGGTCGAGCGACAATCGGGTAACCTTTAAAGGTCTGATTATCCGCGCGTTCGCTGCAGGGCGCGGTTGCCGTGACCATGAAGTCGCGGTCGTCGAAATCTCTCACTTACCACACTGTTGAAACTCATGTGCCACGCCGTGAATTTTTTTTTTTTGCAGAAAAATACGATGTCGATAACAACCTTGACATCCAATCACTATTGATTTATAAATTACTTGATCAGAAAATAAAATGTATTCTCCGTCACTCGTTCTAAAATCAAATATTTTATTGAGGCTATGACTGCGTTCATTTGCTCACAGATTTGTTTAAAATTCACATAAAAGTTTCTTAAACCGACGCTTAAAACAATCAGCTATCATTGAAAGTGTCAGGCAGTGTCGAAAAACTTGTTTAAATACCAACAATTTTCAATAAAAAGCCAGCAAACCTAAAAGTTTGTGTGAGTGTGCACTTTACATTCGTTCTCTAATTAAAAACATGAAGCCATCCGTTCAGGAACGTGTCTAGTAATTGGGTAGTAAATTGAAGGGACCCTTACAAATCCTGGGCCCTGTCAACAATTTCCTGTTTAACTTAACAGTTTTGAGTGAACGCATGTGAGCAAAGCTGAATATAGTAACACAAAAATATAGTAAGAAAACTTTATGGTTATGGCTCTATGTCATGATGGTTATGCTCGAATGAGCATTTCAATTTAATAAAATATATGTAACTGAATAAAGCAGTGTTAAACAATAAAATTAATAGATAGAAATATTGCAACTTATGTATTATATTATTATGAAGAAGATAACTCGCTTTCTGTGATGTTATAATTAAACGAAGTAACCATTGTTTACTAGCTCTATTCCAAAGATTAAAGGAAACTGATCTTTTTTTTGTTTACGCCAGTGTCAGCTGACGTTCGTACCAAGCATTCATTGGCATTTTTTCGTCACTTTATATGAAGAAAACGGTATATAGATTTTAAAAATAAATACAATGATCTTTAAATAATAACAAAATATGTTGCTGATCTTATATACTTAATTAAAAAACGGACAGGTTCACAAATGTTGAATGAAGAAAGTTGCAAATTGTGTTTCATACTAAAATACGAAGCAAATATTTAAAACATACATAAACATACAATCGGTGTCACACAGAACTAAAGAGCTTGAACAAAAAATAGACGAAACTTCATCAATCGAATCGCTTCACCGTGACGTTCGAAAAGTAAAGATGTCGCGCCACATGTTCACAACTGCGTAGGTAAAAATACGTACGAATATTGATGGACATTCTATTTTTGTTATATTGTAACTACTACACTATATTATAATATACTACTACTATTACTATTACTATACTACTACTACACTATACTACTATTACTACACTTAATATATCTTTAAAATTATTATATATGGAATTATATTTTTGAACTATTTAATTTTCGAAGAAGAATCATTTGATATCAATTTTATATATTACTAGCTGACCCTCCATTTTTGCCTTATACATTATTTGTAGGGTAGAAAAAAATTTTTGGGGTGGACCACCCTTAACCACCAATAAACGAACACAGTAGACCACGAATAAAGTAGTCCATGTGTGAAATGAGGGAAACACTATTGCACATTATAACTGAATAAAAATACATACTTTTAAATTCATTCATTTGCTTTGTGACCTTTACAAATGAACTTTACGTTACAGTTTATACGTAAAGGTGTTCTAAAAATGTTTGTTTTGTAAAATTAAATAACGCGATAAATATTGATGTTTGAAGAATGTAAGTACTTAATACAATGTCATCCTCTATATGTGTGTTTCATCCTCTATATTTATTGTCGCGATTGTAACGACACGCTGTATATTTACACATATATTTATGCGTATTTCACCTTTAGTACTTGCGTTTGTCGGGAATATCCCTATAAATTGAAAAACCTGATGCGCTTATTATACAGTCACTGGGTCGGCGGTCGCTCTTAGCAATCAATGGCACACTTACCCAAGAGAGTGACAAAACGCGCAGCTGCGGGAACCAAATCATTATTGTTATTATTAATATCACACGAAGCGGTCGGACCGGATCCACGTATGTTACACATAGCGAACGCGTTTAAGGCTCTGGTCATATTAAAGAGATGATAAGAGACCTACTTATTGCGTCTCTCCTATATGAGTATATACGACAAATTGATTATAATTGAAACTTTCTAACCCGTTACACAATGGCTAAACGTGTCCATGTACGATAGAACAATGGTAGCAACACGTCTGTTATCAATAACAAGAAAGACAAAGAGTGAAAGAGGCCTTTTTATTTAAAAGGGTGGGGCGATCTTAAAGAGATAACCAGCCTTCAGTTGGGGTGCTTGCCCTCTAAACTCCCTCAAATCCATCTGCATTACACTTATGAGTTCACCTATGGGAAGAGAAGCTCCTTCGGCGGTTCTCACTACTTTAGACGCCGACTCGAATGGCGTAGTGCGTAGTGTACCTGCGTCCTGCGCCAGAGAGTTCGATCCCCACTACTGGAAAATATTGTGTGATGAACATAGTGTTTTTCTAGTGTCTGGGTGTTCATATATCTATAATATGTATTTATTTCCGAAAGAAAAGTATGTTTAAATATGATTATCAGTTATCTAGTATCCAAACCAAGCGTTGCTTAGTTTGGGACTAGAGAGGGTTGTGTAAAAATGTGCCCTAAACAAATATTATTATTCATATTGTTTACGATACCTTCGCCCAGTTCTATAAGCCCGGAACTGCAGCTGGACCGAAACCGGTCTTGCCCATTCGTGCAACAGTCTTCGGTGTTACTCGAATGGGCAGGTCAGGCAGGTAAAACCACGACCTCGCAGAAGACCAGTGTGAAGTAGAAGAGTTATACTTCTGCGTTTCGTCTGGTGAGTGAAGTAGCCGGGGCCCACTTTATTATAAGGTGGCAACGCATCTACAACCCTACTTGTGTTGCAAAAGTCAATGTGCGGCGGTTATCAATCAACATCAGGTGAACCGTCATAAAAAACATATGCAGTTCAAGTATCGAAATGCCACCGGTGATGAGACTTCGTCGTTTATGTAGCACTAATGTAAACAAATTATAACCAAATGAAATCCAAAAACCCAAAAGTATGTAATCTCATTATCACTCCACTGGATTTGACGAATCAATTCGTCAAATCCAGTCATCGAAATCATCCAGATCATCGATTTGATGCTCCTCAATATTAAAGGACATTAGGATTGCACAAAAACATTTAACTATATCGTTTAATTCAAAAGAATGAACTACTTTTTTATTTTTAAGTGACTTCAAAAAAGGAGCAGTTTCTCAATTCAGTTCATTTTTGTGCTTGTTACCTCAAAATCAAATAGAAAATGTATAGTGCGTGTGATATTTAAAGTCGCTTTTGTTACTAAAAATGTTTTACTATATAATTACTAAATGTGTACAAGGGACAAAATCATTAAACCTTCACGAAAGCATTTCTCTCATTAGCGTATGTTTGTTTGTTTGTTTTGTTGAACGATCGCAGCGGGCCGTGTCTATTTTAACACAGCTGCTTTTATCTTTTACATAGGTACTTATGACCAACATTCCGATTGTCCGTTTGACTATTACATACAATATTAATTGGAACTCAATTTATTATTAATTTGTTTATGTTGTTAAATCTTCACGACAATAATATTATCTTCCCTCTTTTATCTTATTTCTTATATTTCTTGTTCCAAAGAAATTTTTTTTTCTTTTTCATTTTTGTTAAATCAATAAGCAAAGTACCAAATATGTATGTATAGGCTGTTACAAATATAGTCTAGGCCTATACTTTCCACATACATGACAGACTACTTGGAACTTAAAAAAAATTAAATAACTATTAAAATGTCTGTAATTGACCAACGTTATTCTATTCACTGCTGGTAATAAACTCATGTGTTGTAAACACGGCAATGATGCATGTCGCTTCCTACCTCATGACCGTGAATTCATAAAGACCGTGCCAACTTGCATTAGCAATTAAACAGCTCTACACAGATAAAATATAAAAATCTATTCTGCGT